TCTCACTTCCTTCTCGAGCCCGGAGCCGCTGCCGCCGCCCCCAGCTCCCCCGCGGCGGGGAGGGCGCCAGGTGAGGTCCCGCGCGGGCCCGCGGGCTGGGGGTCCAGGGGTGGGGAGCCCGGCGGCCCTGGGACCGGACGCGGGCGCGGGCCCGGGAAGTTTGGCTGCGGGAGGCCGCAGCGGGAGGTGCGCGGCTCGCTCCAAGTTGGGCGGGCGCGGCCGGCCGGGCGGGGCGGGGACGGGCCACTGCGAGCCGGCGGCGGCTCGAGGAGGGTGGGTTCCTGCACCGAGGGCGGCTGTACTGGCTCCTGGGAGCCGCGAGGGATCCCTGAGGTCGGAGGATCCTCTGCTCCAAGAGAAAAGTCTCTGAGCGGGAGAGCTCAGAGCTGGGAGATGGGGTGCCTTCAGGAGTTGTGGGGGGCTGTTCCGAAGTGTGTTTAGGGGAGGGGGCCCTAAGGGCTTTAGAAGGCTCTCCCTCTGCTCCGGCAGTTGTGACACTTGTGAGGTTGAGGGAGGGGCGGTGTCTGGCCTTTAAAGCCTTAGATCGCAGAGAAAGTCCTCTGGAAGATCGAAGCCGGTCCAGACCTACACTCACAGCCTGCAGCCCAAGGGCCCTCTGCACTCAGGAGGAAGATGGGGGAACCTCGCCGACCCCAATACTTTTCTCTGTATGTTTGTTTTTCTGAGGTCCAACCTCTCCATCCCTGAAACAGAGCGACAGGTATTTATTGAGCTCGCATTGGCTGTGCCTAGCTGACGAGTGCCTGACCTTGCTCTTTGGAGGGGTAAACTGAGGAAGGAAAGGACCTGGTTTTGCCCTGTGACTAGATGTGGAAGGACCCTCATTCATAGGTACTAATAGTCCTTGACAAGATGGCATCACTGAGAGCAGGAGATGGAGAGAATCGGGTTTCTGGGAGGCAGCAGAGGTTCTAGCCTTGGGAAATGGTTGGGAGTCATCTCCTAGTCCCCCCGACCCCCATTGTTAGTCCCTGAATTCTAAATGTTCTCATTCTGTCTTCCTCCACAAACCCTACATCACCCTCTTCTCGCATCCTCTTCAGTCTTTTTTCCCCAAGACACACAGTCATGCCTGGGCCTTGACCTCTCGCCTACCTTCCCCTCTGTCCATCTCTGTCCTCTCCCTGTGGCCTCCCCTGTCCCTTCCTTGCCCAGCTTCTGGCTCCCGCACACATATTACCCTCTTGATTCTTCCATCTTCCCTTCCTCTGGATTCCTTTCTCCTTCCTTTTCAGCCACTTATCTCTAGCTTTGGGGCTCAGGATCTTTGCTGAGTTTAAGAACCTTTTCAAACCTCCCTAGTTCAGAGAGGCAGGCTGCAACCCCCACTGATAGAGATGATGAAAGGGCTAGAAAACCTCTCTGTATGCACGTACAAGTGTCTGCGTGTCTACATCTTTATCTTTTGGAGACAAAATAACTGCCCTCAGCCTTGAGAGGGCTCAAAGCAGGGGAAGCCAGCAGAATGAAGGGAACCTGCAGTGGGTGAGGTTGCGGTTAGGCAGGAGGAAGCAGTCTGTAGCAGTCAGGGTATCAGAGTAGAGTGACACAGGAATAGGACTGGTGAGAGAGTCCGTGGGAAATCAGAATCACCCAGACCCTTGGGTGCTTGATCAAGAGGCCAGGCCTGGAGGCTGCGGGAGAGCCTGAAGGTCCCTGACTCCAGTGTTTACTGATTCCAGCACTACCTGCCAGGAAGAATGGGACTGGGTCAGCTAGGTGTGAGGAAGGATTGAGAGGAGTAAAGGCAGGATTATGGTGAGAAGACTACAGCTGGTCTAACTTAAGTCTTAACTGTTTTAGTTTCAATTCAGGAAAAGAAGAGGGGCGTGAGACAAAGATGTCTGCCCTCTCTTTCCTGCTGCCTTCCAGGGCCTTCCCAGGCTAGATACCCGTGTCCCCTCGACTGCCTCAAGGCCGTGGTGACCAGGAAGCCCTCTGGAGTTCTGCTGACCCCTTTGCCTTCAGGCATCCTCAGTATTCCTCCTCTAACCTAGGCCCCTACTCCCTCCTGAATTTCTCCTAACTGCAGTCCAGCCTGGCTCTATATGCTGTTGTCCCCATTCTAGAGCTCCCTCCTCAAGCCTTTGAGATGCATGCTGAGAAATCCTGCTTTTGCCTACCTCCTCAAGTCTACTCTATTCATTTCTCTCCACTAGAAAAAAAAAAAGAGAGAAGTGGAGGGGAGCAAGTCTACTTTGTGGGATTCCCAGGCACAGCCAGATTTAAGGACTATCCCCATTCCCCATTCTGTCATCTTCCCTTCTCACAGTTGTCGCTGTCCCATGGATTGTCCCTTCCTCTGCACTCCTGTCTCTCCTGCTCTCATTCTGGGAGGTATAGGGGGTTTGGCCCCAGGAGGAAATCCCAGGGACCAGCATAAAAATCCCAGCTCAGGGAAGGATATGTATGCAAGGCACTCTCCGAGCATTAGGGCTCAGTAAAAAACCACCCGGGAGTCCTGACTCCCTGCCTGCCAAATTAGTACTTATTTTAGATAACTGAGCAACCCATAGGCTCTAAGGGTGAAAATAGGTTGGATGAGACAGAGCTTCTCCCAAGCAAGATCTGGCCCCACTGGAGGTTTGAGCTAATTGCGTGAAAGTCACTGCTAGAAAAATGTGACCGGGGTGGGAGGGATCTAAGTGGGGAAATAGGGGGAGGGAGAGGGGGGATGTGCCTGCTATAGGGGACTGCCGCTGAGGTCTTAGCTAAAGAAATATGGTCAAGGTCTTGATGTGAACAGAACTGATACGAGATTGTTCGGGTCCTGGCTGAGAATCTAGGATATGGAGGGTTGTTTCTGGCAAGACGTTAGGGCAGATGAGGTGGCTGGTGTGACCTTTTAGGGGTCATGAACAAGATTTGAGAGGTTGTGGCTGTAGTGAGACAGTGGGAAAGATATTAGAATGCAGGTAGCTGGGCAACTGGGAAGAAATGTGTGCCCCGGCCCAGATTGAAGACCCCTCCCTGCATACACAGTGCAGACCCACTAGTGGTGAGACTTGTAGGAGTCTGTGAGAAGGGAAACCAAAAACAGAGCCAGGGCTGCCTCCCCAGAACAAATCGGTTTTCCTGTCCAGGGTCCAGCTTCCTCTTTTGTCCTCAAGTCATGGGGGGAGGGCATCTCCCCAGGAGCTAAAGCCAGAGAAGGCACTCCCCAGCTGGGGCAGGCTGTCTGTCTGTCCAGTAATGTCTGTTCTAAATCATGTATGCTCGGGTATGCTCTTGGCATGAGGGCCTGGAAGCAAAAAGGGCTCAGACACCAACCTCACTCCTTTGGCCCATTTCCCAAAGGGATAAACTATGGTAGGGCCATCCTGAATGAGGTCAGAGGGATAGGCCCATTCCCAGGCTGGAGGTCAGGAGACCCAGGTCCTTGTCCTGGATTTGCTCCCAACCCTCTGTGTAACCCTAGTCAATTTCGTCTCTTGTGGCTCAGCTTCAGCAGTAAAAAGTTATCTATCAATACCTCAAAGAGCATATAGAATACTGAGAGCTCTGACTCTCCTTCTCCCAAGGGCCCCTCATAGCAGTGCCCTGACTCTGGGCCCAGCCTTGAACAGTCTCTATGTGTCCAAGGACAAGAACTGTGGTGTGCCCCCTTTCCCCAAAGCACAAGAGAAGAAGGCAGAGAGTGGCAGGGAATTTGCCAGGGGGTGGCAATATGGGGGAGTACCTGGTGCCTGGCTCCAGCTCTGCCCCACTGACAGTGGAAAATAGATACCGGAGTTTCCTCCCTGGTGTTTTTTTCCCTTGTGGAAACCCCCTCGGGTCTGGGGCGGGCTGAAGGGCCTGGGAGGCCCTGGGTCTCTCTGTGGGTATTTTCAGGTGGCGGAGGCAGGATTGGGAGAATGGCATTTCTGTACAGCCTCATGTGAAATGAGCAAAGGCAAAGGAAGTGCCACTTCACGGGCCTTTTGTGGGGCCCCCCAGACTGCTGAGCTGCTGGGGCAGGGAGGAGGAAAGGAGGAGGAAGCCAGGGTTGAGCCTTCCTCTGTGCTGCCTGGTGGGGGAGGGGGCCGCCTCCTTAACTGCCGCCAGAACTACTCTGGCCCTGGGGCTCACCCTCTATGGAGCACCCCAAGTGCTGGTACATGGAAAGAACAGGGACTGAGTAAAAGGGTCCCAGCCTCCCACAGCCCTCCCAGCTCCAGCTGTCGTTTGTTTCCTCCTCCTCCCCAGCCCCTAGTGGGCAGTCAGCTCGCTCCATCCTACCTGGGGCAGTGCAGGACCCTATGCAGGGCTGAAGGGTGGAGAATGGCAAGAGGTAGAGAATTCTCCAGTGTGAATTTTTTTTTAAGGCTGGGAACTAGGCTCTCGGGTTCTGTCCCTGCTGATGGGAGAATGGGAAGAAAGAGCAAGACTCAGCCCTTGGCCTGTTCCCAGCCCCACACTGACCTCCTGTCTCTCCCAGCTTCCTCCTCCTAGCACAGCTGCAGCCCCTTTGAGCCTCTTTGTACCACCTCTCCTTCTGCCTTCTATTCAAAACAAACAGACTGGCAGAGCTTCTGAAGCTGATCCAACACTGACCCTGACCTTGGCCTCATTCTTGACCAGTCCTGATAGTCCCAATCCTTATGCCCATCAGGACCACTTTTCCTACCCATTCTCCTCATCACCACTGGGCTGGCTATGCCTGCTCCACCCCTCTCACCCTTCCATTTGAGGACAGGGCAATTTAGCCTATGTGTTCGTTAACCCTAAATTGTACTCCTGGTGCAAGGGTGGGTAGGAGGGAAGCTGGTTACCCTTGTCTGGTGTCTCCTAGGCATGGAGGTGCTTCCTTGTTCCCCGAATCAAAGTCTGGATTGACGGGATAGGAGATGTATGCCTGTCTGCAGCTTTTGCTTAGCCCTCTATTGGGCTTCTGGAAGTAAGCAGGACCTCCTCATGAGGCATCCAGTTAGTTCAGCACAATGTAATAACAGTGCTGGGGAAGGTAGGGCAGAAGAAGGGGTGGCTGTGGTGTCCTGAGTAGCTGGGGAACAAAGCTGGGCCCTGAAGGACTGGAGGCTCTAGGGTGAGGGGCAGGAAGGGTTGAGAGGA